AAGACACTTGAAAATCTGGCCGAGTAGCTCATTCATTTGTTTGTGATTTCATTAATCTGTCCTTCCTTCCTTCCTTTTCTTCCTTTTTTCTCTCCTTCCATCCATCTATCCATCCAGCCAACAAATATTTACCAAGTACCTGGTACATACGGCACAGGGCTAGGGCCTGTATAGGAAACAACGGAAGTGTCAAGATAGCAATGTTATCCTTAAGAACCTTATAATTTATCAAGAGAGTTAAGACCCCCATATGAAAATATAATGGGTGCTTTACTAGGTGATGAGGGCCATGTGCTCACCTGTGCAGAGTGCTACCCAGGGGTGCAGAAGCAGCGAGGGTAGCACTGCCACACAGGGTGATAATGGAGGTAGTATTTGAGCTATATCTTGAAGGTGAGTCGAGTCTGACAGGTGATAAAGAAGGGGCAGATGTTCTAAGAAAGGATAGACAAGCATGGAAATGGAGAATCAAGTACTCTTTTCAGGGAACAGCAAGTGGTCTTTGTTGGCTGCAGGGGGTTGATGTATAGGGGAGCAGAGAGAGAGAGAAGATAGAAATGAAGAAATTCCAGAACCTGAGAACTAGAAAGAACTTCTGACCTTCCATCTCTGCTGCTCCCTATTGCCTGCACCACTGTAAGGGGCTCTTGGCTGGCCTCCCTTCCCTGGATTGGGTAGCTCTCTCTTTATTTAAACTAACAAACACACAGGTTTAGTCAGGGTAGGCTAACTGCTCTAACAATGCCCAATTCTCAGAAGCCTAACACATTACCATCCAATGTGGGCAACAGAGAGCTTCTGCTCCACACAGTCATCCAGGGAAATAGGCTCCTTCTGTCATGACACTACCCTCTTCAACACACAGCTACAAGGTCCTGCTGATGAGTAAGAGCTAGACAGCATGGAGAAGGGACACCACAGTCCATGGACTAGAATTAGTCATGTGGCCCTACCCAGATGCTAGGGGACTGAGATATAGTTTAACTGTGTGCCTAGGAAGAGGAAATGGGTTTAATGAGAACTCAGCCAACCTCAGCCAGCTCCCCTTCTGCATAAACCTAGGTCAAGATGATATCTGACTTAAGGAGGGGGAAATAGAAGCATAAAGAATAAGTAGAGAGTGGGAGGGGATAGCCGGGCCTGGCAGTGCCAGGGCTGTGGGTTCTGATCCAGATTCTTCCCTAGCTGTGTCCTCACGTACCACTAGTGTGCTAGGACCCTGGGTTAGCATCTCACTCTCCCTCAGTTTCCTCCTCCTTCTCAAAGGGACTGTGACTTGGTCCTTTAGAAAGGTGATATGGAAGAGCAGACGTGGATCACCACATCAGTAGAGCAACCTGCCCGTGACCTCCCCGCCAGGAGCAAGGGCAACTGAGAGACAGTCATCCGCCCTCACGCCGTCCCTCTGGTGTCCCCTCTGTGATTAAAGAGGTGGCTAAAGAGTGGAATGTTATTACAGCTTTTCCATAATGCAGTGTCATCAGGAAGCCCTGGGCCTCTGGGCAGCACCCTGGCAGCCCCATCACTCTTCCCAGCTGCACAGAGGCTCTTAGACCACGCAGAAAAGTGCAGGAAGCAGTATCAGAAAACAAATGGCAAGGCAAGACCACTCATCAGCGGCTCTTCAAAATGATCTAAACTTCAGACGTTTGATTTAAATCCGCATCCTCAATGGCCAAAAACATAAAGCAGAAGATGAGGGAAAGAACCAAAATGAAAGCGTGGGTGCCAAGAACTAGAGGGCAGGGAGGGAGGAGAAGCAGCCGCCCTGGGACAATACTGGGCTTGGCGAGAGCCAGGTTCAGGTCCTTTTTATTACACATCTCTCAGACATGCTCTCTTCTGCCATGAAGCTTCCCTGAAATGGGACAGGAAGCTTGAGAGCTAATCCAAGAACAAAATCTGGAAATCTACCGGCCTGATTTATCCTTAGCCTTTCTCCCTCAGTCCTCCAAAGATGACTATCTTAAAGGGGCAGCAGGGGGGGGGGTGGTGACAGGTGAGCAAGGAAACTTGGGTTTATATTCTAATGTTGTTCTCTTCAGACTCATTTATTTGACAAATATTCATTGGAAGACTCCTGTGCACCAGGCTCTGCTGTCAAATAGGACCAGTGCTCTGAGGCAAAAGGGGACAGAGTGACACTTCCCTGAGGTGACATTTGACCTGAGAGCAGAGTGAAGGGAGGGAAGCAGACACCTGGGCATATGACAAGATGTCTCAACAGAACTGAGGAGCTCTGAACGCATTAGGCTGCATGTTTGGGCCCAGCTGAGGCCCATCCCAGCACACCTCAAACACCAGCTGTCTTGAAAGAAAGGGAAAAAAATGCTCATCTCCAGAATAAGGCAGCAATCTACTGCCAGCATGACCCTTCCGGCTACCTTTACATGTGGGCATTCAATGGCTAAGTACTCTAACACAAGTCCAGACCCACTTTCTAGGGAAACCTATCTGAGTATTGCAGCCAATCATTTCCTACAGCTGAATAAGTTGAAAGAGGAAAAATCAGGCAATTGGGCCCCACAATGCAGCTAAGTATTTAATTCCTTTTTAATGTTTATATTATTAACACCAGCATTACAAAACGATATTTTTACTTTCAAGCGATTTAAATGTGCAATTTGGTGTCTCGATTACTTGTATCATTATAATGTGAAAAACTGAAGCGGAGCTCCCTCCCTCCCCACTCCTCCCCTTGATGGTGCCTCGTTTCTATAAAAAGCGATCAGGGCTCCATAAAGCCCAAATACCCATTCCAAACAACTCAGAGGTGCGGCCCTGGGGGTGGGGGGTGGTTTCAATGAGCCAGAGGAGGCAGCCCTCTGTTTGGAATGAGTGACAGCCGGCAGGTGGGTGTTATAATGGTCATCAACTCCTTGAGGGGCTGGCACCATCAAGCCACATTCCAAGCAGTGCCTACTAATGTGCCCAGAATGGCACTGGGTGATTGACAAGTCAGTGAGCCCAGACTCTGGCTCAAACCACCCATAGGCACAGGGGGACGGGAAAGAGGCTGAAATAAAACAAGGCCTGAGAGGGCCCTGGAGCCCCTCGGAAAACAATAACTAAGAGCCACTACCATTTGCTGGTCTACTCTGTGCCAGCACTGGCCAAGCACTATATAACTCAAACTCATTGTCATTAAGTCAGTTCCAACTCATAGCCACCCTATAAAGCACATATAAATACACCATGTGATTTCCAGGGACAATGCTGTGCCCAGGCCTGAAGAGAGGCTTCCTGATGGAGTGGTGAAGAGTAAGGGCTCAGGAGCCATTCAGCCTGGCTTCAAGTCCCAGCTTTGCCACTTACTAGCTGGTCAGCTTGGGCAAGTCCTTATACTCTCTGAGCCTCAGTTTCTACTTCTGTAAAATGGGGATAATATTGGCACTTATCTCTGAGAGGCACTGTGAGGACTAAATGAGTCAATATGTGTAAGGCATTTAGTGCCTGGCACATGCTCTGGTGGCGCAATGGTTATGCACTCAGCTGCTAACAGAAAGGTTAGCAGCTCAAACCCACCCAGTGGCTCCTTGGGAGAAAGACCTGGCAATCTGCTCTAGTCAAGATTACAGCCTAGAAAAGTCTATGGGGCAGTTCTACTCTGTCACATGGGGTCACTATGAATCAAAAATCAACTAGACAGCACCTATAACATAGTATATACTCAGTAAGTCTTCATTTATCATTGTAATTCCCATTTTAAGATGAAGAAACCAAAGCTCAGAGCAGTTAAATAACCCACCCAAGGTCGGCTGTTCTGAAGGCCTTTGCCTTTACTGTCCATCTGTCTGAAAGCCGCTCTTGCCACCTTCATGTGGCTGTCCCCTGGGATGACTCAGACCTCTGTAAAACACCAGATCCTCAGAGATGGTCACCCAGACCATTCACACCCTACCCTACCTAACCCAATCACTGTGGACTTCGCACCCTGTCTTGATCTCTCCCTGGAACTTATCACATCTGAAATTATCTTGTTCACTTATTAAATAAAACAAATAAAGCACTTAGAATGGTGCCTGGCACAGGGTAGGCATTCAATAAATAGTATCAATGACTATCATTATTATATGTTTGCTTGATTGTTGACTGTCTCCCCCAACTTAAAGGTAAAATTCAGGGGAGCAGGTCCCTCATCTCTCTCATCCCCATTCTACCACATGAAGGAGCTCAGGGCTGCCTTCATGCATGTATGACCTGGACAGTTGCACAGGGCCCTGAAAGCACAAGGATCCCACGCTTGGTTTAATGCTGTGCTGTTGCCATCCTGAAATTCTTAATACTTTTTAAACAAGCCCTCACATTTTCATTTTGTACTAACCAAACCAAAACTAAGCCCATTGCCATCCAGTTGATTGCAGCTCATAGAGACCCTACAGGACAGAGAAGAACCTCCCCACAGGGTTTCCAAGGAGTGGCTGGTGGATTCAAACTGCCAACCTTTTGGTTAGCAGTCAAGCTCTTAACCACTGGGCCATCAGGGCTCTTATTTTGCACTAGGCCCCTACAAATTATACAGACGGTCCTGGATGAATGAATGAATGAATAAGCAAGTCCAGATTCCAGTCCAGGTCTGTCTGACTCCAAGATCTCGATACTTAACCACTGTGCCAAACAGGTCTCCAGATGGGGGAAAGCAGACTGGGAGCCTTAGAAGAAGGCATTTGTTTGGGTTTCCCCTGGCATCCAGTTGTTCTTCTCAACTTCCCATAGCACTTGTGCCTCAGGTGGAGTGAAAACCATTTGCTGCCACTTGAAGTCACTCTTCCTCTTGCTGAAAACAGAGGAACTTCAGTCTTGGCCTCCCAGGATGCTGCCTGTCAGCGCAGTGCTCTTAAAGCCCCAGTCATGGTGGGGCCTCAGGCAGAATTACAAGGCCTCAGGGCACCCAGCACAGCCCTAGGCACCTGGAGCTTGATCGTAAACAGATACAACCCTTGCCCTTTGGGCCTCAGGGCAGCCATCAGAACCATGTGGCTATAAACACAGCTGTTGCAGAGAATGGAGCAGGGTGGTATTACTGGGCTGGGAAAGGGGTGGGGTTCACCAGGGAAGCTTTCCGGGGGTGCCCTGCCCTTGAGTGCATTTTCTACTCCTCCTGCACTTTCCCTATGCCTCAGGGTAGGCATCAAACACCCTGGGTCCCCAGAGGGTCTCATTCACTAAGTCTTTACTTTTAAGCCTTCAGAGCTGTTTGTTGCTGCACCCTGCTAAAATCACTGTTGATCTTTGCTCAGATTAAACGCCTCCCTCTTCCTCTAGCTCCCCTTCCTGCCCCAGGCCTGGCTCTTGAGCTCTGTGTCCCTCCATTTCACACATCCAAATTCTAACCATCCATCCAGCCCAAATGCCACATCCTCCAGGAAGCCCTCCCTGATCTTTCTCCTCCTACTCCTTTCTTTCTCTAAACTACCTAGCATTCTCTAATATGTCAATTAAAGCCCTTATCACTTTGAACTTTGTGTTTCTGTTATGCAGTCACTCCCCAACTCCACAGTCAACTCCTTGAAGTCAGGAGTCTCCTGGGATTCCCCTTTACAAAGTAAGTGCAGCAAGAAGGAAGAGGTAGGTGGAAGCAAAGCACGGAGATGGCACTGGCTGAATGCAGGGAAGAGAAGACACAAAGTGGGGGGGATACGGAGGCTTTCTTGAGGAAAACTTGGAAGGTGGGGCAAGCTTTTGAAAAGAAAAATGAGGATATTCTGCATCATGATGCAGCTGGAGATGTATAAGAGGTTTGGTAAAAACAAGTTTTTCCAAGCTGAGTCAATCCAGCTGACATTGCTCACACTAGAAAACAAGGGGAAAAGTGGGGGGGGGGGCACAAGAGGCTAAGAAGGGATAAAAGATGGGGGCTGGGGAGAGAGGAACAAGGGCTGGGGAGAGAGGAACAAGAGCTGAGGAGCTGTAAAGAATGAATTGTGGCGGAGTGCCAAGTGATAGTGATAGTGACAGGAACAGGGGCTAGAATAAAGAATGGGAAATGAGGGCTCCAGCAAGGTGTGCATGCTACTTCATTAAGTTCAAACACCTCTCCATCGAATAACAACCCGTATTTACATGCAAATATATTCACTTATGCAAATTAGCAGAGATCTCAGAGGAGGGATTTTAAGTCTCGAGCTTGTGCAGTCATTGAAAAAGAGAAGCAAAGCTGTCCCTGGGGGGCTCCACGTCTGACTCGCCCCTGGGAGATGGGCCTGTTCCAGGAAGACGAAGACTAAATTAACTAGGCTTGCAGAGACAAGGGAGCAGCGCCCCTAACCGGAGAGCGGCGGGCGCTTTGAAAACACACCCCCTCACTCCTCCTTTCCGTCCCACCTCCTCCGGAAAGGTTGCGACTATTAATGCGCAAGCGCTGCGTCCGCGCCAACTCCTCCCTCGGGGGCGGTGACAAGCGGGGCCCAAAATGGCGGGCAACCGCTACCGGCGTTTTCTTAAGCTCTGTGAGGAATGGCCCGTGGACGAGACCAAACGGGGCCGGGACTTGGGTGCTTACCTGCGGCAGCGGGTAGCACAGGCCTTTCGGGAGGGAGAGAACACGCAGGTGACCGGACTGTGGCGGTTGGGGAGAGGGGAGGCACGGAAAGGACGAGGCAGGGGCGGGGCCAACGCGCGGCCCGACCGCGGGGCTGCACTTGCGCGCGCCTTCCTGCCTGGGCCACATGTTCACGCAGACCCTTCCTCGCCGAGCTGGAGAGCTGCGGGGGCGCTCAGTGCACTCGCTTGGCTGCGCCCTGGAATCACCGAGGAAGGTTTTTTAAACTCTAGGTGCCCCGGATCCACCTACCCCTCCATATTGAATCAGAATCGCTGGAGGTAGGGCCTTGGCTTTGGTATTTTTAAAAGCGCCCCAGGCGATTCAAGGTGCAGCCAGAGTTGAGAACCACAGTACCAATCTTAGGGTGGTGACAGTCGCAGGTTTGTTGCTCCCATGACATGGTGCCATTCACCTCGACTGTGGCGTATTGATGGAGGTGAACCCCAAGAGCCCCTGCAGGGCTTGAGTTCTTCCTGGGCCCCTAATGTAAGCCCATGCAGCAGATTTAGGTTCTAGATTGATTCCCCCGTGTGTAACAAGTAGTGCTGTATCTCTGAAATTTATTCATTTAGCGCACCACCTACCATATGCCAGGAACTGTACTGGATGCTGGGAAGACAACTATAAATTAGATGAGGCCCTCCCTCATGAAGTTTACATTCTAGTTAAGGACACATTAAACACATAGACATACATATAAGACAGTCCAGATAAGTCTTATGATGGATATAAAATAGAGTACCGTGATAAAGGAGTAACAGTTATGGTAGTCAAATGAGGCCTTTTTGTGGAGGTAACGCGTAGGTGAGACCGAAGGAAAGCAGATGAGCTACACTTGACCAGAAGGGCATTCCAGGCAGAGGGAGCAGGTAATGCAAAGGTCCTGAGGCAGGAAGCAGATTGGCATGTTAGAGAAAGTGAGAGTGGTGGAGGGTAGTGAGTGAGGTGGAGTCTGATGAAAAGAGTTGAGGCAGAAGGGCAGGAGCGAGGCCCAGTAGAGCCATATAGGCCATGTGTAGGAGTTGGATTTTATCAGAACGGTGGTGAGAAGCCATTGGGGACGTTTAGTCAAGATACTGATAGGACCTTATTTAAATCACGTTGGTTGTGTGGAGCTCTGGTGGTGCAGTGGTTAAGAGCTACGGCTACTAACCAAAAGGTTGGCAGTTCCAATCCACTATCTACTCCTTAGAAACCCTACGGGGCAGTTCTATTCTTTTAGGTTGCTATGAGTTGGAATTGACTTGATGGCAGCGGGTTTTGCTTGTATGGGAGTCCTGAGTGGTGCAAATGGTTAATGCATTTGACTGCTAACCGAAAGGTTGGCCGTTCAAGTCCACCCAGAGATGCCTTAGAAGAAAGGTCTGGTGGTTTACCTCCAAAAAATCAGCAATTGAAACCCTGTGGAGCACAAATCTACTCTGCTACACATGGGGTCACTATGAGTTGGAATCTGTTTGAGGACAGCTGGTTTTTGGTTGTACGTAGTGTATGAATTACAGGAGGCAGGAAGAGAGGAGGCTGGAGAAAAGACTACTATGGCAAGCCAGGCAAGAGATGGTGGTTCTTGGATGAAAGTGGCAGCATAGGAGGTGGAAGTGGCTGGAATCAGATTGTAATTTGAAGGTCAAGTCAATAGGATTTGCCAGCATATTGAATGTGGGGAAAAGGGTAAGAGAGAAACCAAGGATAACATCTAGATTTTTTTTTTTTTTTTTTTTGTCCTGAGCAGCTGGTGGAAGGTGGTGCTATTTACTGAGATTGGAAAGACTAGATGAGGAACAGGTGGGGGTCTGGGAAGACCATCTTGAGTTTGGTGTTAAACATATTAAACTTTAGACGTCGAGTAGACTTCCAAGTGGAAATGTCAGGTACGCAGTGGAATATTTGAGCCTGGGGCTCAGGCAAGAGGTCAGAGATATGAAGTAAGATACATACACGCACTCTGAAGAAATGACTTTTGGGAAACTTGGCCAGGACCTGTCAAAGTAGAAATATGTTCTTTTGCAGCTTAGCCCAACACAGAGCCCAAACCAGCCCCAATGGAGCAAGAACATGCCTGATGGCATCATTGTAACAGTATTGCTGATTGGGTGGCAGGAGTGTATGGAGTGTCTGGCCCAGGGCCTCTGTATGGGTGGTGTCGCATTACTCTCGGGGGCCCTCATGCCTGTTACGGTGGCCCAAAGTGTAAGGATCTTGAAGGCAAACATCATACCCAGTTCCAACTCTGCAAACTCTGTTGACCTTCTAGGGCTGTACTCCCTACAAATCTTTAGTGTGACCTTCTTGAGAGTAGAGATGATGCCATTTTTATCTTTCTTCCTCCAGTGTCTAGAGTAGCTCATAGAAGACACTCAGTAAATATCTGAATGAGAGATGAATGATTGGCTATGGCTCATGAGATAGAAATCATTTGAATGTAGTTGCAGATGTAGCAGAACTAGATGGAAATATTTCTGTGTCTTGAGTGGTGAGAATGAATTTGAGGGCTTACGTGTTTGGGGAGTTGCAGGAACTACAGAAGGGGCATATAACCTGGTTCTTAAACCACCAGGGAGCTTATAGTTCAACAGGCACATGATTTATCCTTAGAAAATTCAAGTAGTGAACCCAACTAGCAGAGAGGACAGAGGCTAGATCCTTGTTTGCATGCCACTTCCTTCGTGAGGTGAGAAAGTGCAATGTTTACCCACTTGATTGTTAATGATACAGGAGCCAGAAAAGGAGGGGAGAGCTTTCTCTTTGGGAGTTGTCATCCTTTGTCATCACCTAGGGAGATGGCTCAGGATCAGTCAAAGGCCCACACAGGTTTGAGTCATAGCTGCAGCTGACGAATGCATTCCTGGTAGGGGGAGCCAGTGCATCATGGTGCAGCAGGCACATTACTCAGGACCACTGTCAAGCTACCTCAACCTAGTGTCACCTGGGAACACACCCAGGCTTAGTAAATCTGTGATGATTTTCGGAGAGAGCAGCCCCTTGCTGGAAAGGATGATGGCCCCTGGAGTCACTCCCACTCACACCCCTTGAACATTTAGAAAGACCTTGAAGAAGAAAAGTGGTCTCGCAGGCTCCTTGCTAAACTGCAGCAGGCAGCAGGGGCTAGACCCTTTGGCTGATCGGTGTGGAGCTCCCCCCTTGGCTATGCCAGTTTCTGGAAAGATGGAACTGGAGGAGGGGGTGCATTTCTGCTCGTGCAGCCTTTTTGTTCCTTTCTGGAAGAGATAGGCAGTCCTCCCCTCAGCCTCTTGGCTTCCTGCATCTTAACAGCAACACCAAATGGACATACTTTGACATGCATGATCTCAGTAATTTAATCCTTAGAGCAGCCAAGTGAGGTAGCTGTTATTCCCATTTTACAGACAAGGAAACAATCAGAAAAATCAGACAAGACTGGAGCAAGCCCAGCCATCCTGGCCCTGATCTAGCATTGTCTCCCTGGTGCCTGACCTTTCTTCAGCTGCCATTCTTCCCAAATTATCTCTTCTTGTCAGAACAGCCTCTTGTTCCACAAACATCAGGCCACTGTCTTCCCCTTGTTTCCTGCTCAAATCTTTTTGGACTATGGACAGTTTGAGCAAAGAGTAAAACACCTCCCTGTTTTTACCCCACCTGCTTCCCTTGCCCCAGCCATGACCTCCCAGTGTGGATGGGAAGAAGGATGATCCTCGGTGGGTTACCAGTGCAGAAAGACCAGATTCACTAGAAAGCAAATTAATAATTCAGACTCTAATACAGATTACAAAAACCACTGCCTCGATTTATTCCACCTCAGATTGCCCTTGAGGGAGTCCTCACATTCCACCCTGAACCCACCAAGGGGGGAGGAGATGGTGGGAAGCAGGAACATGCTTAACTCCTTTCACACCCTACATCCTATTGTAGGGTTTTTTCAAGTTAATGTTTATGGGTTTGCCCCCTTTGAATACAGTTTCCTTAAGAGAACACGTGTTCCCCACAGCACTGAGAGCTTAATCAAAGAGAATCACAGCATGGGGGAAGGTGGCACAAACAACTGTAATTGTTGACTTAACTACAGGGAAAGGAGCACATCCTTCTAATGAGTTCATTAGGTGCCCAAGCAGCCTTCCAAAAGATCTCAACTGCACACCAGCACCCACTCATCTAGCATGGGCGCGGCTCTGAGGAAGGGGTCTGGAGAGACTGCTACCTGGCGGGGGCTCCCCCACCAGCGAGGTCTTATAATTGTGTTGTATCCGGGTTTAAATAAGATTATCCCAGTTTGAAAGGATTTAAACTTTATCTTGAGTTTATAGTAATGTAAATAATATTTCTAACTTCTCAGAGGAGAATGCAAAGGTTTTATGTAATCTTGTTTTCTCAATCATCCAGTGGAGGCCCGGCATTTGGCTTTCCTTGACGTAACAGGGAGCTCCCCAGCTGTCTGGCACGTGCTGGCAGCGGTGAAGACATCTCAGTATGAACCCCCCTGACAGATCTTTGTAGTTAAAAAACTGAACCCACTGCAAAACAGGAGTTGTGAGGAGAATCATCTCTAAGAGGGAATGCAAACATCTCCAGCTCTTTTTTTTTTTTTTTTTTGTCTCTCCCTGTTTTGAGAATGAGTTTAAGGTCATGTTTAAACGAGGGGATGGTATTTACCTGTGCATGTTTTAAAGATCTAGGCACCCCTCCTAGAAGGATAAATGATTGACCACTTTCATTGGGTCACCATTTATTCAAAGGTCTTTGGCGGCCCGCCCAGTGCCACAAGTCTCAGGCAGCTTTGTGAGGCCTGCAGCACCCTCTCATCTTTGTCCCAGCCTGTTTCCAAGCTCACCTCTCACTACCGCAACATGAGCCCCAGCTTCACTGAGAGTGTCTTTTCATTGCCTCCCAAATTGACTGTAGTACAAGTAGTTCTTAACCTTTGAGAGTTGAGAGCAAGTTCTGAACTCCCCAATCACCACCATCACTACCAAAAAAAATGTCCAGTCACACAGAGCTTGCAAAAATTTGGTGGCTTCCCAGGCCCTTGAAGC